AAGACGAAGTTGGATAGGCACATGGAAGTGCTGGGATGGGTGTGAAAGGGATCTGCCCTGTATGGGCCAGTCGGCCTCCTGCAGTATCCCTTTTTCTTATGTTCTTAAACTTTCCAGCCAGGAGCGAACTCGTAACAATGATTTTAAATTAGACAAATTTAAATTTAGGCGCGAAACAGGTAAACATTGGTTTGGATATAGAGTAGTGGATGAATGGAACAAGTTACCAAATATCATCATTAACTCGAATACGCTGCATAGCTTCACACATAGGTTGGATGGATATATGAGCAATAGGGGTTGGGTGTAAATGGGACTGCTCAGTATGGGCCAATAGACCCGCTGCAGTTTCCTCCATTCTTATGTTCTTATGTCATTGCGACATTTGTCACAGCGTATTTTGAGAATTTACGTACCCGTTTGAATGAAACCAGGCCTCGTCCGTGAAAAATGTCGTATCCAGCTCTGACATTGTTGTGTGTGAACATGTTGAACCAACGGCAGTAGTAAACACGCTTGTCTGTGTCCAACGGGTACACAGCTCTTGCACTACCCTGACTCTGCATGAACGTAACTTTAAACGCTTGACAGTCCTGTGAACGGCTGAACGAGATGCTCCCACTTGCTGTGACAAACGCCGTAATGACTTACGGGGAAATTGCAACAAACTCTGGTGTCACTACTGATCGCCGCCCGGTTCTTGGTATGTTTTTCACACTTCCTGTGTCACGAAAACGTTTCACCGGTTCATAAACAGTAGCCTTACTTGGTGTCTGGCTATCAGAGAATCTCATCCTAAATATTTCAACACAACGTTGATAAGATTTGCACTCAGAGTACGCCTCCAACATAGCGACCCTCAGCGTTCGCTTAAGACTCATTGTCGACTGACTCGCACTTCCGTCCCTCTGCCCCCTCATGCGCGGTAGTCACGTGACCGGTACATTACTCGGCATCTACTGTACAACGATGTTGCCAGCCTGTGCCGCGTGAAACCATGGATGGCTATCGTTCGCCATTAAACTACTATAAATTGCCAAACTTTGAGCATGGAGACTTTTGAGACACCCTGCGCTTTCGTGTAATTCACATCTTCAGGGGTGAGTACAGACTAGAGAGAGTAATACAAATCAAGGTGTATATATACAGAGGAGGGTGAGACCAGGTCCACAATGGTCAGGTATTAGGTAATGACCCTACTAATCTTTAAATAGCACACAACGGTTGGTGGTCAGGTCAGATGGTCAAGTGACCCGGCCTTCTCACCTGATCACAAATCTTCTTAATTACAAAATTGTCCAGCTTGTACATGCTGTTACTCAAATTCATGTTGAATGCTTCGGTATGTTTAATAAGACTAGATTCTATGATGTTCCTACTATCAATTGAATTACATGGTAATATTGAGGAGGCATTATCCCAGTCAATGCAATGCTTGTTATCCCTCAAATGAACAAACAGAGCATTGGATTCCTGGCCTGTCCTAACACTGTATTTGTGTTGTTTAATTCTAGTTGCAAGATCTTTACCTGTCTGGCCTAAGTAAAACATATTACATTCCTTGCAAGGAACTTTATAAATGCAACCAATTGTGTTGTTGGGGGAGTTCTTGATTAACATTTGTTTAACAGTGCATGAGTTTTTTAAATGCCACATTGACGTTCCAGGTTTTTAGCTGTGCAGGAATGTGTGAGAAATTTTTGTGAAATGGTAATATTAAGATATTCTTGTGGTCATGGGTGGGCTTGGGGTCAGTTCTATAAAAAGTTTTCTTAGTAATGTTTAAGCATTTGTCTATGAAAGATCTAGGGTATTTAAGGTTTGAGCCAATATTATATATATATTTGTATTCCTCATCGATGAATTCCGGACTGCAAATTCTCAAGGCACGTAAAAACATTGTTGAAAATACTGACTGTTTGACTTTATTATGGTGGGCAGAATAATAATGAATGTATGAACACACATTAGTTGGTTTTCTATAAATACTGAACTTAAAAGTGTTACCTATTCTGTGTATCAGACAGTCTAGGAATGGCAATTTACAGTCTTGCTCTAATTCCACAGTGAATTTGATCGAGGGGGCTAAGTTGTTAAGTTGTGGCAGGAAAGCTTTTAGGTCCTCATTACATGGCCAGAGACATAATACATCATCAACATATCTAAACCAGACTGCTGAGGGTGGTAAAATATTACTTAATAGTTTCTTTTCAAATAGCACACCGTTGTGCGCTATTTAAAGATTAGTAGGGTCATTACCTAATACCTGACCATTGTGGACCTGGTCTCACCCTCCTCTGTATATATACACCTTGATTTGTTACTTTCTAGTCTGTACCACCCCTGAAGATGTGAATTAAGAAAGCGCTTGGGAACTTCGTGTTTTCTTTCTTTGTGGTTATCAGCATATATATATATATATATATATATATATATATATATATATATATATACTGATACATATATATATATATATATATATATATATATATATATATATATATATATATATATATATATAAGTATATATATATATATATATATATATATATATATATATATATATATATTGTATATATATATATATATATATATATATATATGTATATATATATATATATATATATTATATATATATATATATATATACTGTAGTGATGGGTTGTCAGACCACAGCATACATCTCAGAAACAGTCCAGACTTGACCCGACATTAGGGGATCAAATGTAAGGGTTACCCTCGCAACCACTCAAGGAGTTACAAATCAACTGGTTTCATGTCACACGTCCCCAACAAACATGTAAGAAGGCCAAGCACCGCCGACTCTCTCCCCAATATACACAATAACCTATACCGTGAAGAAGTCCAGATCTGGACCTCACATTAGCCAGGTCAAATGTAACCCTGAGCCCGTCAAGGGCCAATAAATCAACCAGGGCCTCATGTCACACGTGCTCCCATCTGAAGATCCCAGAATATACAACTTTATGTCTCTGAAAAAGTCCAGACCTGACCCTCACATTGGGCGAGGGGCGAGGTCTTCGCCCCCCACTTCGATCAACCTCAACCTGACGGCTGGGTCTTCCAACAGGACGTCCTAGCCCTCCTCACGAGAGTGTGTCTTGTAACCAAGAAGGGCTACTGCCCCAGTCCCCGCCTCGAGAGAAGCCTACACCAAGCAAAATCAAGTCTCAACCTGGTCCATCGAGTGTCAACTCAACGTGTAACAGTAAGTGCTGGCTGTGTAGACGGTAGAAGTGCGGTGATCCCGAACCTCCCCAACGATCGACTTAGTGAAGTGCCCATTCTAATTGTGAGGTTAGGTCATACGAGAATACCATAGTCTATCATAAATTGTGTACGAACCCCCCCATTAATCCCCCCTATTGAACTAGTAAAATAAAGCTGTAACACGCATTGGTGTTTTATATACTACACTTGTACTGTGCCTGTGTTAATATACCGTGTTGACATCACACCCTCGAGACCCGCTACCATTTCCTCTCGCTATAATATTCTACAACTATAATCTCCTAACTTACCTCTTCATGTGAGATTTTGTCTCATTACACAATTATGATAAAGATAAAAAGTTATCCTTTTTTACAGAAACGTAATTTACTTTGTAAAACTTAATCAACGATTATCCCTATTATATATAATATACAGGTAATAAATATAAAATTGAATCAAGAATTTATCCAAGCATTTTCATGATTGTTCACAGATCCTGAGTGAGTGAGTGCGGTGTGGTGAGATAGGACGCTTACTGTACTCCCTGACGATGTTAACAATCACGAAAGTGGTTGGTTCTTTCCGTGTCCCAATTTCCTTTTGTTATGTATGTTACGTACACTATAATATATTATATAATATTATATTATATTATATTATATTATATTATATTATATTATATTTATTATAGTGTGTGTGTGTATGTGGGCGCGCTCTAAAATCTTCTATATTATACCAAACTATCTATATATTACTTAACTGTTGCCAACATTCTATATCCAGCTGTACAAGTGTTTCTTACTATTCTCTTGTTTTCTTGTCCCATTCTACATATCATTATTTGTCTAGCTCGTATGTCTTCATAAGATACTTCTGTCACTGATAATTAGCCCGAGACATTTCATACACGCTCAAAGATGTTGTTACGAACCCCGCCACCAATTGTCATGATCTACCTACCCAGCATTACGAACCACGCCATCTATTGTCCTGATCTACCTACCCAGCACCACGAGCAACGCCATCAAGGGACGAAACACGAGTATGACTCGTCTTAGTTACCACTCCGGGGTTTCCCTTCTCCATATCCTGGTTGTTGCGTCACCTCCTCAAAGTCTTCTTTGTCAGCTCCAATTCGAGGAGAGAGCACTACACTCTGGGAAGTGACCACAGGATCACCTATCCTGGAAACCTACGGCACAGTGACTACCTACCGTCTTCTACAATACTCAGCCTTACTCGTCGGCCATCTCAGCTCCGCACTTAAGTATTTGTAATCTTGTATTGCCTCCCCCACGTCCACTTGCTTCAAATTATTGTATGCTGTATAAATATGTATATACTGTTAATGTTTAGGTTAAGTATGGTTAAGGGTAAATTATAGATAGCTGAATATTTTGTTAAGGAATTTATGGTACTTTATTATACACAACAAAATCTCGCATCCTTTGTCTACCCTTTTATAGTCCGATTGTCTTTGTTTTTTTATTGTTGTTACCTGTTGGGATCTGGGTAGACTTTTAAATATATTCTAATTCCCCAACTCGTAACAATGTAGATACAGCATATGCAATACACAGTTATTGTTTTGAGCCAGGGTGAACCAAGCTCAACAATTATGTATTTATCTATAATTAAGGAGACAAAATCTACACAGAGAATTAAGAAAACCTGATGATTCTATATAACCTAGTTACTGCGGACACCATTCTCGGGGACCTGCTGGACCTATAATTAACTTAGGTAACACGACGCACACAGCTTACCTGCAGGCCTGAGAGTATCCAGAAGGCGTATTGTATCTCCGAATTGTTCTTCGCCTCTGAAAGATGATGCGAGATTTCTAGCGTCTCGTTCAGGTCGAGTCTCAACTGGTGGGTGTTGTTTGTGTCCTGATCCGTGCAGTTCTTGTTAAGCAGGAAGGGCTCGGTGATCATGGGCGATAGAAAGGCCCCCAGTCCGTAGAAGAAGTGGAGTGCCTACAGAACACAAGAACAACGTATTTACAGATTTTTTACTTGAAACTTGAGTGATAAAACGATATGTATGTATGTTTTCAGGGCCTAGGCTAAAGTCAATTTCATGATTACAGTATTCCAAACCATCATGACTCGTACTCTCTCCCGGAGTGTTGCAGAGAGAAGTCTACCTAAGTCACCCCCCCCCCTCTTCCTTTCTCCATTCTCCTTTACTATACTTACCTTCCTCCTTTCTTATCTTTCGTTTTTCTTCCTATTTTCCATTCTCCACTAATTGCCTTTATATTTTTCTCCTTCCTGGTGAGGTCGTGGGGAAATAATAGTGAGGTGGTTGTTAAATGGTGGTGAGGAGGTGGTGAAATGGTGGTGATGAGGTGGTGAGATGGTGGTGATGCGATGGTGAACACAACTTTGAGAGAAACGTTCGTGTGTAGTTTACATGTGGGGAGGGAGAGAGAGAGAGTCGTCTGACGACGGCCACAAGAGAGGAAGATTATGCGGTTTATTACTTTCATAATCATGCCTGGAGCTCTCTTGGTTACAACTAACTCCGGGGAAAGTTTCGTATGTACTCCACGCTGGTGTTGTCTCTAAACTGATGCATCTCTGTCTTTAATTTTACAATTAATTGCCTATATTTCTTTATTCTAAAATACTCTAAGACTATTCAATTTAAAAAAAAATCAATGTAACCTATCCCCCGTAAAAACCCTCCACTCTAAATCCTTATCCTGAAAACATTTTGGAATTAGGAATTAGGACAACTCCATCTGCAATACTGTCTTGAGTCCAGCGCCCCACTTAGGTCCAGAGGAACCCCGAGAACTTGGGCGAACATTTCCTTGAGGCGGGTAGAGAGAGAGAGAGAGAGACACTGAGAGAAGCACTGGGAGATAGAGATGAGAGAGAGAGAGAGAGAGAGAGAGAGAGAGAGAGAGAGAGAGAGAGAGAGGCTCGGAGAAGCAGGGCCTCCTACACAATATTATAGTCGGTCAGACAACATTGCTTCAGGGATAATTCGCTCTCACGGCTTACTAGGTGACGTTTAGTTTAAGTTAGTTTCACAAATTTATTGACAAAGCTTGGAGTACAGTTTGCCTATTCTGAGTAATTCAGTCAGGTCTTGACACTGAGGGTGGTATCACTTCTCACTGCCACGCAGGACAGAGGTTCATACACAAAGAAATACATCATATTCATCAACAGTATATATAGGTCAGATTCATGTGGGTAATGTCACTGTTCACTGCCATGCAGGACAGAGGTTCGTACACAAAGAAATGCAGCATATTCATTAACACTATATATAGGTCAGATTCATGTGGGTGATGTCACTGTTCACTGCCATGCAGGACAGAGGTTCGTACACAAAAAATGCATCATATTCATTAGCAGTATATATAGGTCAGAGTCATGTGGGTAATGTCACTGTTCGCTGCCATGCAAGACAGTGGTTCATATACCTTGGACATCATATTCTAATTGAAGACTAATCAGTGTGGGCTAGCAAATTTGGGATAAGCAGCAAGAATGTCCTCAAGCACCCCCGATTCAATGTAGTAATTACAAAGTTCATGATACAATAAGCCAGGTGGCCTGAAGTCTTTGACAGTGTCACATTCAATAATATATTGTTCAAGTGTATGCTTTAAAGGTTTATCACAAAGTTTACATGCTGAGTGTTCCGGTATGGGTACAGCGTTACTAACTTGCCAGATGTGTCTGTATCCTAGCCTAATTCTGGCCACGACTGCATCACATTGTCTGGTTCTGTCCTTATGCTGGCCATACCGGTACCTCTCGTCACAAAATTTTTCATATTTACTAATGCTACAACTGTCAGGTCTCTCTGCATTTCTCACTTCTAGATCGGAGTTCATGATTCTGACTTGAATGTTTTTAAGTACAGCATTGGACAGGCCAAGGTCACGGTCAACATTTTCTTTCTTAAATGCCTCAAAGGCCAGTCTATCAGCACGGTCATGATACCTAATTCCAACATGGGACAGAATCCACACAAATTCGATACGAGAGTTGTTCTCATTGGCAGTTATCACATTTCTTTTAATATCACATACAACTTTAGAAATAAAACCTGACGGGCTGGTCATTGATTTCAAAGCACTTTGAGAGTCACAGAATATCACCCACCTCCATTTTCTTTGAGGTAGTCTGTAGCTAAGGAGATTCCAGTTAGTTCAGTTTGTGTTGTGCTGGCCCAGTTGTTCAGCCTTTGCTTGTTTGACACTATCATCTCTTTTTCTTTATATATTACAATTGCACAGCCTGTTCTACCTGTGTTTGTGTGCACAGAACCATCAGTAAAAGCATAACATTCACTTGGTTTAATACTCTCTATGTGTCTGTTAATAGTTTCTCGTGTGACACATCTCATCACATCGGTGTTTAACATTTGCTCACTACCAACAGGAGTGTAATTAACAGGAACTGATATATCCAGCCAAGGAGGAATGGCATTAATGGGTTTGTCTGGGGTGATTGGGGCATTCAGTTTCAAGAGATCTGCAACACTTTTATGAAGCCACGCCCCAAAGAGAGTCTTTTGTGGAAGGTTAGCGAGATGGTCGGGATTACTTAGATAGAACATCAACTCAGTTTGAGCTGTAGTTTGGAGATCATTGTTCTTCAAAACTTTGACCCAAAACATGGTATTAAGTAGAGTTATCCTCTCAGATAGGGAGGCAGGGAGGCAGCCCAAACTCTTTCCTCATGTTTACAATTCTGGTTGATTTTGGGCATCCTAGAACGATGCGCATGACTTCATTTTGCACTACCTCAAGGCTGTTGAGTTGTTCAGGCGGAATAGTCACAAGATGGAGAGCATGATAGTCAACTACAGAACGAATGAAGTGAAGATAGAAAGTACGATCATAGGTGATGTTAATTCCATAGCCCTTGCCAACAAGGGTTCTGAGGGGTTTAATGCGCTGCATTAGTTTGGCACGAAGGTTGCCGACAAAGATTGCATTATTCACACAAATTCCAAGATATTTATAAGAGCTACATAGTTCCAAGGGCATGCTGTTAATGTTAAAGTCAAGAGGCATAGGGTGAGCAGGACGGTGAGAGGCGAGGTGAAGCAGAGGAGTAGAGATGGTGAGAAGAACAAAAACATCGTTACAAATAGCAATTGAAAAATGCAAATTATACAAATGAGTGAGAAGTGAGGAATGGGAATGAAAAGAGGTGAAGGCGAGTGTGGAACATAGGTGATAAAGGGGTGTGGAAAAGAGAGCAGGTGAACAGGGAGAAGTGATAAAGGGGGTTGGAAGTGAGAGATAGAGAAGGGAAGGAAGGTAATTGAGGGGCAGAAGTGATGAAGGGTGGAGAGGACCCGAGTTATCAGCAGGGTGTAAGGGAGGGAGGATCTGTAGACACTGGTGAAGGAGTTTAATCTGTATCAGATTTAAGACACCACAGACTGAGGATGGCAGAATGTGATGAACGGAGACACGTAGTGGGTCAGCAGCTGCAATTCACGAGGGTGCTGGCGCCTTACTAAAACTTAAATTTGTTTACTATCGCAGAGTTTTCTTGTATTGGACTGTAAGTAGAGCATAAACTCTCCCTCTAAATATGTCTTCTTCTTTGACAGTTTCTGCTGCAAAGTAAAATAATCTCAGAGGGTGAATAAACGTGGTTTATTTTAACTGAACGTTTATCCAACTCAGAATTTTATAAAGTCCCATTATTCCGTACGTAGTCCAATTTACAATCCTATATTGAAAGAAGAAAATTTTTCTCAATGTTACAGTTTCGATGCCCATTTCAGTTAACAGTTGAAGAGGATGCCGTTAGGCACTGCGTCTTGCATTATTAAAATTGAAAGTTTCCAACTCATTAACGTGAGTTAGACTTACAATGTTGTTAATCACTTTACTATACCGTACAATCCATCAAGCATCCCAAACCATGATTGATATGCATCTGGTCATATTAAAAAATAGATATTTCTCATCTGTGGACTTTTACTTGTAGATATACTGTATACAAGTCATATAAATCTCTGCAAACATCATGATCTGAGTGAGACTGTACGGGCTGTTTATTGTAGCCCAACACACAGCTGCTAGAGCCTCAGTCTGGCCTGCCTTCTTGAGCCTCAGTGATCCCCCCTAGAGGCAGAGCCCGCAAAGTCTGGGATCATAACCTCACCAGCGCTAATATTTGGCTGCTTATGCCTCTTCCTGTGACTATGATTTTATATATCACTACCCAAGTTTTCCTTCATTGTCTTCCGTCTGTGTACCATGACCACAAGTTTTATTTTCTGAAGTTATTGCGTCGATTTTTTTGTCGCTTGAGATTCATATTACGGATTAGTTTCAATACTTTAATGATCCCACGGCGTATGAAAAAAAACATTTTATTTACAGAGAGAGAGAGAGAGAGAGAGAGAGAGAGAGAGAGAGAGAGAGAGAGAGTAGAACAACGAACTTTTCTCTTTGGTCATATACCGGTAACTTAAATTTCTGGGCACATTTTGAAACATATTGATTATTGTTTGTGCCAGTGAGTCACATCTGTTATAGAACCTCAACTCTTCCCTTTTTTTATTCATTTCAACGTAGTTATGTCATCACCATAACTGTCTCTTTTTCTGCCGTTATGGTAACTACTGTTTTATGGTGGTAGTGATGAAATGTGAGAGAGACCACATAATTGATGGTGAATCTAATATTGAGATATTAATAACAGAGCAGCGATATACATTCCTTTAAGAGAGTGAGAGGGAGAGAATCACTGTCACAATTAACTTGATTCACATGTCATTTTAGTTTGAAGGATTCCTATTTGTTCATGATACTTGTTGCATCATGGGAGTCAGCTGTGCCTTATGTACACAGTCACGCTCTGTACGCACAGTAATATTACAAACAACAATTCTAACTTCAGCACAGTAAGGAAGAGTGTCTTCATAACGATCAGTTAAAAAGTGTACTTGAGGTCTTTTTACAGTACACTGAGCGTCTCTGGAG